TCACCTCATGTCAGTAGCAGGATCACCTCATGTCAGTAGCAGGATCACTTCATGTCAGTAGCAGGATCACCTCATGTCAGTAGCAGGATCACTTCATGTCAGTAGCAGGCTCACCTCATGTCAGTAGCAGGATCACCTCATGTCAGTAGCAGGATCACCTCATGTCAGTAGCAGGATCACCTCATGTCAGTAGCAGGATCACTTCATGTCAGTAGCAGGATCACTTCATGTCAGTAGCAGGATCACCTCATGTCGGTAGCAGGCTCACCTCATGTCAGTAGCAGGATCACCTCATGTCAGTAGCAGGATCGTCAAGTCAATATGGTTTCGGTGGATGTTAATATAATAGCACTCAGTTGAGTGTTGTTTACTTAAACCAGCCAAGAAACTTCTAGCTAAATTCCCGGAGAAGCAAAAACTTGTATAAATAATACCCATTTCAAATTTAGAGCAGGGAATAAAGCTGCCGATAGACGCGCGATAGATACTTAGAGTCTCGCATAACTGCTTGGCTCGGCTCTGTGCAGTGCAACCCATTTACCAGTGCCGCAACAGTGCCGATTTTCGACTCTGCCGGGCTGTTAAAGATTTTCTTTACATTAGTTCGGCTCTGCGGGCTGTTAAAGTTTTCTTTATATTAGCATTAGCTAAGCGCTGTTTTAGATAGCCGGCCGGTCAATGTTTCACGGCTCTGTCCGGCTAAATTAGGCGTCAGTCTAGGCTCAGTATTTTAGCTGGGGCTTGAAGGGCAGCCCTAGCTCTGAGCAGTTTATAGGCTCGGTGGGCATGGCCAAGCCCACTCATGCCATATTCGCAGCTGGGCCTTCACTGTTATATATGAATAATCTCTGATATGATTAATACTATATTCAATTTATGTCATCCGTATGGCCATTTCTTAAACTGCATCAACGAAGTAACGAATTCTTCCGTAGATCGGGGACTTGCGTGACCAGTACGCATGGGTAATGTCCCGCGCTGAAGAGCTTGACGCTGACTCGCTCGTGAGTACACGATCGTAATGCATAAATAAATGGATATAGTGCATTAATAAATTTAGTTTTATTCAATAACAAATCAAGCACTTGCTCTACTCATAAAAAATTTATTACAACAAAATTCTACGAAGTTGCTTCATCGAAAGATATAACCAGGATGCAGGTATGACACGAGGCGTGTTTTTACAGAAAGTACCAACAAAATTTTCCACAATTATTTGTTCGCTCGCAAGGCCATACTTCACTTTACTTCAATACATAATTCACTCTGATACAAACAGCCAATAAATGTTGATGTATCTTTCGTTGATACGAATATTTCAACAGGCTGCTGCACTGGACGCATTCGAGTCTAACGGCATCGACACGTCGCTGTTGCAGCCCACGCCACAAGGCGGCGACTGCATCTACGCGCCAGTTCCTCCCAAGATATAAAGAAAAAAGAACATACAGAATTACCTAGGAAATTGATGGATACCGTATTTTCTCTATATTGCGTTAAATTTAACTCATTGAAAGAATTGACCTACACGTACGAATATAAATCAGTTTCAAGCAAATTGATAGTTGCATTTAATTCTCCCGACTGATTTTCAACTATTAACTTAATTTCAGCATATCAACTTAGCCTCACATATTTCTCTTTGGTGCATTGATCGGCAAGTCATAAAGATTTCAGTTCGATGAATTTATACCACAGTAACAATTAATTACCTATCACATGCCGCTTTTCCGCGAATCAATTAAAGGTCAATGATATTATCAATTAAATTATTCTGAAAAATCCACATCGTAATAATAGGTTTTTTAAATTTCACACAACATGTTCCACAACAAACTTTTTGATAATTCAATACCTACTTTACAATACTATAGGAAATAAGCAGAATAATCATATTAGATTCTCATGAAATAGCAAAGGTTTAGTTTTCAATATCTGACTAATTTCAGGTCAGAGCCTTCTATTTAAACTTGCACTGGGCTTCATTGCATTATGGGTTAAGTAGCTTCAGCCTGCACATTCAAAGTAACTGATCTCGACCCTGCTATTTTACTTTCTCTATTTTTCACGTATTTTTGCAGTTAATTGACAGATTACTTAACAGCAAAAACTCACAGAGTGCTACTGATGCTTCAAATCTTTATAATAATCATCAAAAATCTTAATAATAATCTTCAAAGATCTTCAGCCTCAGTTCGATAGCTAAGTAGAGATGGAGCAGACCATAACGTGGATACCCGTCCTAGACCACAGGTGCCATACTTTCAAAACTCGCTAAGTGAACGTAAGCACTTACGCTCTATTTTCTTGTCTATGATTGGTGGATTTTGTTCGAAAGGCCGTCAATGATTGGCTGATGAACTTACGATCTCTTAACTTTTTTTGAAAGTATGGGNTAGATAGATTCCTATTGAAATGCAATAACCTCTTTCACGAACTCGGAACACATTCCGCGTAACATTTAAACCTGGTTTTAATGGCTGTTTTCCACATCCAGCAATATTTCTCAACTTCCGAGCTTCTGCAGGTTATGCAATATGTAAGCAAAGATTTTTAATTTACCAGGATTTACGAGTTGGGCTAACGTGGCGACTCCTCTTTCTCTTCATAACTTGAAGGCTATTTTTCCAGGAGCAGTCGGAGCAAACTTGGAATGAAGATGACATATTTGTCCTACTGAATTGCAATTAAACAATAAATTACTCCTATACTATTCAACTTGATTTTTTCGCCTTTGAAACAATTCATGAGCCTCGTTTCCTAAAGTTTTGTCAAGGTCATGATCAACGGTTGCATATTGATACCGTAGAGCGAGTAATTTGCTGCAGGTGATATTTTTCCAAAAACAATAGGCGTGCATGAAGGGGGCTAACACCTAGTAATATATAAAGTGATATTTACATTTTTATTTTTCGATGATGAAAAATTTAAATATACACGCCACAGATCTTACCCGAAAATGATTAATTTACTTTCACCAAAAAGTGTCGAACCGTCGGTTCCGAAACTTTTTAATGAAGTGTGATGTTACCGGTGCAATAAAATTCTGAGAATCTTATTACCGCCACTGACGATACAGAAAAAAGACATCGATGCAAATTGTGACCCCACTGTAACACCAAAAAAACGAATTTAACAAAATTCGTATCGAACAAGTGATAGAAGATTTTAATATGCGGACAAACTGATATTTTTATTTTTTTTATTATCAGAAACGAGGACACCGGAAAAGCGAGTCCCATGAATCCTGTCTTCAAAATAATTTAATACAACAACTGAGAGGTAAAGTCATGCAGACACCACGAGTCCAAAGACCGGGCATTCAGTAACGTTGCGGATGCCAAAGGAATGCATATACTATTCGATTCTTTCGAGCAAATCAAGTCACTTGCATAAAACTACCCTTCCAAAGACATGACATACACGTGCCAAAAAAGTAGCCATCCAAAGACATAATATACGCTTACCAAAAAACTACCCTTCTAAAGATATAACATGCACGTGTCATAAAACTATCCTTCCAAAGACATAACATACACGTGCCATAAAACTACCTATCCAAAGACATGACATAGACGTGCCATAAAACTACCCTTCCAAATACATGACATAGACGTGCCATAAAACTACCCTTCCAAATACATGACATACACGTGCCATAAAACTACACTTCCAAATACATGACATACATGTGCCATAAAACTACACTTCCAAATACATGACATACATGTGCCATAAAACTACACTTCCAAATACATGACATACATGTGCCATAAAACTACCCTTCCAAATACATGACATACATGTGCCATAAAATTACCCTTCCAAATACATGACATACATGTGCCATAAAACTACACTTCCAAAGGCATGACATTCACGTGACTATAAATTAACCTTCCTATGACAGGTCGAGACGCGATAACAAAAATACGATAACGTAAGACACGATAACACAAGTGGAGTACCAAGACGAGATATAACCTACCTATACACACCTGCCACGCGTAGAACGTCTAGTATGCGAACGTTACGTAACTTGCATTTATAATCAAGAGTCAATTAAGCAGTGCAAATATTTATAACATTTTCCAACATTCAGTGACATATACTAGTAGTTTTTTAATCCAGGGCATCCGTGTGTGACGGAACACAATTTTTGTGGATTATTGTTTTTTGAACATTGTTTCGCTTCAGATTTCAGCTCGAGGATTTAATTTATGTATGACTAAATAATGCGTAGACATATTTTTATTTCGTGACTGTAACAAGGAATCGCCTTAGCTGTAATATTATCCGTCGGTAGCGTTGCGTTGCAGTCGTCTGCTAAGCGCCACGCGTCGTCTGCTAGACCTGACCACGTTTAGACTTATTTTTACGACCCGTTAATTGTAAATTATTACTTGACCAGTGATTCATTCGCTTCAATGTGCAGTTATTTTGTCCAAGGACTTGATTTTTTTATGATAATCGTAATGATTTACTGTTGCACGAGAATAAGTGCTGTCGATCTACGATACTATCGTTAAGGCGAAGACGGCACGTCGCCATCTTGCGTAAGCAGGCTAGACATAATAATAATATAAATAATAATAGCGGTTTCAGCGTTTATTAGGCCATAGGCCTGTCTCTTATACACATCTAGATGTGTATAAGAGACAGNTTCCTCCTCTCTCCAACGCAAGGGAATTTAGAGCCGGACCAAAGAGCGACTCTTTAGCCCTTGTTTCAAAACCAATACGCAAGTCACCGTCAAATCGGCACGCTACCCATAATTATTTCGATTTCGCAGCGTTGTTTCCAGTTACACGTGTTTGCAACCAAGTAATACAAAAGCATTTATATTGGAACAGATTCAAATCAGATCGATCCGTTCACTCTTCATGAAAACTATTTAATGTATACCTTACAGTGCAATTTTATTATATAAGTATTCTTACGTAACTTAAGGCTAAAGTCTAAAGAGGCCTGAGAATTGTTGCATGTGACGGAAGAAAACGTAATAAAAGTCTTGCGATTCCAAGTCTGAATCGAAGTCAACATCTGGCATCACCACAAGTATGAACGGGTGAGTTATACTGGGCGGCTGAGTTATACTGTGCGGGTGAGTTACAGTATACTGTGCGGCTGAATTATACTGGGCGGCCGAGTTATACTATACTGCTAAGTTATACTATCCGGCTGAGTTATACTATACGACCGATTTATAAGGTGCGGCTGAGTTATACTGTGCAGCAGAGTTATACTGCACGGCTGAGTTATACTGTACGGCTGAGTTATACTGTACGGCTGAGTTATACTGTACGGCTGAGTTATACTGTACGGCTGAGTTATACTGTACGGCAGTTATACCTGTCTCTTATACACATCTAGATGTGTATAAGAGACAGGAGTTATACTGTACGGCTGAGTTATACTGTACGGCTGAGTTATACTGTACGGCTGAGTTATACTGTACGGCTGAGTTATACTGTACGGCTGAGTTATACGGTACTGCTGAGTTATACTGTACGATTGAGTTATACTGTACGATTGAGTTATACTGTACGGCTGACTTAAAATGTACGGCTGAGTTGTACTGTACGGCTGAGCTATACTGTACGGCTGAGTTATACTGTACGGCTGAGTTACTCTGTACTGCTGAGTTACAGTATACTGTACGGCTGAGTTATACTGTACGGCTCCGCAATCACAATCAACCCAATGAGAGAACGATATACTAGCAATAAAAAGTTTTTAGTTTCAGTGTGAGGGATAATAGTTTTATATCAAATTAAGACTATTTCTGCGTTTCTAGCATAATTTAAGCAATTGTTATCAACTGCGTTCCCTTCTTTTGTCTCGCAAAAATTTAGTAATTGTTACTGCATTTAATTGCTTTGTCTCGCAAAAATTTAGTAAATTATACAGTATTTAATTGTTTTGTCTCGCAAAAATTCACTACTTTAACTGTGTTTCCTTGCTTCATCTCGCGCAGGTTCTCCGCTGTACTCCTGCTGGCCGTGGCCGGTCTGACGAACGCTTACCTCGACCAGGGAGTTTGTCCAGACTTTCAGAACATCGCTGAGTTCGAAATTCCCCCGGTAAGTTCGTAAATATTAATATTACTTGACTATGCTCCCCTATTTAAAAAGGGCAGTAATACAGTGCAGTAATACAGTGCAGTTTTACGTATAATTTGAATATTATGATTTTGCGGATGATATCTAAGGAGACTATCGAAATTCGAGTTAGGATATTCAAAAATCAATTAGCATAAAAATTTCGAAAATCTTGTATTCACAATTTCTTATTAATAATATATAGTTCATCTAAAATAAATTAAATTCATTGCGTTATGCAATGAATTATCATTATTATTAATATTTATTATGTATTGTTAAGAATCAAACAGATGGAAAAATATGGCAGCGCAAAAACAGGTATCATCCACTAAATAACCGCACATATTCTTTTTTCGTTATTTGTTGAATTCGAGAACTTGTACAAACAAAAAAATAAAAGGAAAATAAATAAATTCGCGAAGTGTAGATAACTTAATTGTCTAATGCTGATAATAGTGAACCGAGGTTGGCTAAATAGGCTTAAGCTATAACATCAACGAAAAAGCCTTCATGTAAATAAACAAAAAAAATTTTAAAAATATTCAACAGAAATTTCTGTTGAATATTTTTTACGAATTCATATATGAATATGAATTCTTATTGAATATGAATGAATATATAAATGAATGAATGAATATATTCATATTGAATATGAATTCATAATTAATAATTAGCGGTCGAGAATAAAACCAAAAATAACTAAAAATCCTTCAAGTTTAAGCCAGAGGTCTCTGAATGGTAGTGATTTACTACAGGAACAAAACATGTCAATTCAATTCGTTGTCTATTTTGAAATTCATTCAACCCTCTACAGGCTGGATAATCCGTAGCGTAAAGGCCAATTACTGACACCCAATTCTCCTAATTAAATTGCTGGCGTCAGCATACGTCCCGTCCTATATAATATTGGGAGGAGGGCTGAAATTTGGTGCAGTTTAGTGTCGTGAAATCCCCATACATTCAGAGTCTCTTCATGGTCCATGTAATGTTCGAGTTTCGCTCGAAAATATTCAGAGTAATATGTAAAATAAAATTAATTGATGTATGAGAAGCAATATCATATCATATATATCATATCATATATATCATATCATATAGTGACATCATATCAGCGTGTCTGAGACATGATCCATCATTCGACAATATCAGTGTCAATACAAAGGAAATTTCATTTCAACATGAGTAGTTCATTTACATATAAAATTATTTCTCAAAACGTCCCCTTGAATCATCCAATTGAGATAGTGGAAAGAATCAAAATAACAGGGAAGGCAAAAAGTTACTTGAAACATCCAGCTCTTAATTCGCGAGACTTTTGATCGTGAGAATTAATTAGAACTACGTTACCTTCAGAGCGCCGAAAAAATAGCAAAATATTTCAGTTTGGGCTCCATCTGCAAAATAAATTCTGAATATTTCCGAGTTAATTAATATATAAATAAATATTAAAAATTTAAGTTTGGGCTCCATCTGCAAAATTAATTCTGAATATTTCAGAGTTAATTAATATATAAATAAATATTAAATATTTCAGTTTGGGCTCCATGTGCAAAATTAATTCTGAATATTTCAGAGTTAAGTAATATATAAATAAATATTAAATATTTCAGTTTGGGCTCCATCTGCAAAATTTGTAAAATTAATAAAGCTGATGAAAAGTTCTGTGATTCGATATTTTTAAATTACGGTTGGAATTCCCAAATTGAGATCAAATGGCAGCAATTAAACGTTCCTTTGCTGATAAATTCACCATAAGGGAAACTTAAATTTAAATTTTATTGAATCTAATATAAATTAACCACAAGTCACACTACCATGTATCAAAAAGTTTGAGGTAAATAATATATATTATAAACTGATGTCTATGTAATCATTATGGATAATAGGCGGTGAGTAATAAATTATTTAATAGTATCTAATAACATAGCCTTCATAAATCGTCAATTTTACCTTCACATACTTGGGTGTGTAAAACTTATTCAATTTCAGTATCTGGGTCGTTGGTACGAAACTCACCGATACCCCGCTGGTTTTGAGACCGGCGACACGTGTGTCACGGCAGACTACGGACCTATCGGTGAGTGTTCCTTCAGCGCTCCAAACATGAGAGCAGCTCAACTCCATGCAACTCAGTATTTGTTGTCTTTACCACCTTGAAGATGTGTAGGGATTCTATAACTAAATCTCAGGGGTAGACGGACATGCAATCGCTTCTGCATTTGTTTCTGCAGATGCTTCAGCAGATGCTTCAGCAGATGCTTCAGCAGATACTTCAGCAGATTCTTCAGCAGATTCTTCTGCTGATGCTTCAGCAGATGCTTCCGCAGATTGCTCTAGAGCTTCTTTTATTACCCGTCCACATGTGTCATAGTCTCTTCAATGATTTTAGAACTAGAAAATTAACTCTGAATTATGATCCCCACTCCAGACGACACGACGATCTCGGTCACGAACACCGCCAACCTCCCCGACGGGACGCTGGACACGATCAGCGGCACGGGCACCGCGACGGGCGTCCCAGGAGGTCAGTGTTGCGTCAGCAGCTGCGCGCAGGTCAGTGTTGCGTCAGCAGCTGCGCGCAGGTCAGTGTTGCGTCAGCAGCTGCGTTTACATTAGATACGTCTAGTTAAAATTCACATTTTCTAGAGACCCAGGCAACTTCGACAATTTGAGTTCAAACTCAAAGCCTGCATAAAATTGAACCTGCTATTACAGTTTTAAACTTTCGTCAAGAGTAAGCGCGTTGAGGTTAAATATAATTTTTTTTTTTTTTTTTTTTTTTTTTTTTTTTTTTTTTTTTTTATTGAACTTAGACTTGAATAATTATTGAACCATTTCAAGTCTAATATAACTTTTAAAAACTTTAATATGCGAAAAACTGTCATTATACCAACTAAGCAGACGACGGTAGAGGCTAAAATACGAGTATTTAAGCGAGTCTTTAAATTAGTATATTTTCATACGTAAACTTCAGCTCAATTTTAGCTCTGATGAATTATTCAATGATAATTTGCGGAGTGTCGACTGATCGGCTTCCGCAGTCAGCTAACACGTACGAGGATCATGAAGCATCATTCTTTTGGGGATCATTCCATTTGCATGAAGGATCGTTCCTATTAACACCGTGAATTTTGCATGGAGAAACTGCATTAAGTCTTGAATACCTATTAGGTCTGGAACTTGATGCTCAACATCGTACTTGCCATCATCGTAAGTTCTACTTTCACCGTAAACGCGACGGTTCACAAATTTCAGGTCTCAAGCTGAGCATATCAATTAAAGGATCGTAGGATGCTTAAGCTAATCGTAACTCACCGTACATCACCTTACACCATCGTAGATCATATTACGACCAACTTACCTGATCTACGGTGATCATATTACCTGGAACTGAAGTGGCGTATGAGCCGTTAGTTATCATAATAATAATGTATTCCTCTGTCGGAAAACCATTATGCGATTGAATCATTAAACATTTCCCTTACTAAGGTCGCATTCACTTTAGTTAAGTTGTTTAATTTTATTTAAGTGGGCACATGTAACATTTCCCTTACTATTCATAAGATCGCATTTGCTTTAGCATCATTAAGTGGCATAAATTAGATCGTTTGCTTTCCTAATTTGTATTATTAAGTACGCATTTATATCATCAAATTGTTTGCATTTAATTATTATGTTTGGTTAAAAATAATGCCCGTTTTATTGAGAACTTCTTTTGAGTTAAATTTCTCAAGCTTTCTGATAAAAGGTACAGTAATAGGGTTATTATTATACATTAATTTAATTATTATTATATATATATAATTAAATGTGTGTCACAGGTTGGGGACTACAGAGAGCAGTTCGCGTGGGTGCTGTCACGCACGCAGGAGCTCGACGCTGACACGCTCGTAAGCACACGTCTATTTAGGCATAGTGATAATTTAATTGAAGAATATTCTTGATAATCTAATTGAGGCATAATAATTTAAAAAATAATTGATAATTTTATTGATAAATATTCTTGATAATCTAATTGAGGCATAATCATTTAAGTAAGATAATTTATAATTTAATTGAGGCATAATAATTTTGCCACGCTCGTAAGCTTACGCATATATAGGCATAGTGATAATTTAACTGAAGAATACTCATGATAATTTAATTGAGGCATATTCTTGATAATTCAATTAGGGCGTATAGTGATAATTTAATTGAAGCATAGTGAAGCACTATAGGCATATTGATAATTTAATTAAAACGTCATGTTACGCGTGAAAAATACTAATAAATTGTATAATATCATAGTTCTATGAACGTACGGTACAATGACGTTTCAAAAATCCAGCAGAAATTTAAGAATTAGACTTCTGACGTACAATAAAGTTTTTGACCAATTATGACCCAATTGTTCATATACACATAGAACTTTTCATGATGTATGAAGAATTACGCATATGTCGCAAATTTTCCTAAATAAAATAAAAATAACGGCTTAGGACCCCATTGTTCATAAGCAAGTAGAACTTTTTCATGATGTAAAAGCTGTTTTTTTCTAGTTTTCTGTTTTTTTTCTAAAATAAAATAAAAATAACCGATTAGGACCCCATTGTTCATAACCACGTTGAACTTTTTCATGATGTACAAGATGTTTTTTTCTAGTTTTTTTTCTAAAATAAAATATAAATAACCGATTAGGACCCCATTGTTCATAAACACGTAGAACTTTTTTCACGATGTATAACCTGTTTTTTCTAGTTTTTCTGTTTTTTTTCTAAAATAAAATAAAAATAACCGATTAGGACCCCATTGTTATAACCACGTAGAACTTTTTCACGATGGATAACCTATTTTTTTCTAAACAGACGACCGTGCTCGGAGTGTTCGAGTCTAACGGCATCGACACGTCGGTGCTGCAGCCTACGCCGCAAGGGGGCGATTGCGTCTACGCGCCAGTTCCTCCCAAGATATAAACGATGGAAATACGGCATAAAATTCCATGTTTAATCAATATTGCATAGGGATTGAACTCATTGAAGGAAAATATATGTAACTATAATATGAATCTGTGTCAAGTAAATTGAGGAAATTCGCATGCATTTTAATTCTCACGATGAGTTGCCTGTTAGCTACTGGTATAAACTAAGCTCAACATATTTCACCGATCGTAAATGTACTATAGCGGATCGGTTAGTTTGAAACCACTACAATTTAAGAACTTAAAAACGGGGATTATAGCACGAATTTGCCGAGAATAACATTCAAAGTATATTTTGTAAAGTATGGAGGTTGCACCCCAAACATTGGCGAACCAGGCAGTTGCGATACTACGGATAACTGAATCGAAGAAGAAACAAAATGTCAATCTATAAGTAGCTCGGATGGTTTGCGAAAAATATAAATATTCTAGAAAGTCAATAAAACTGATAACAAAGATAAATTTAGTGCCCCTACAGTACTATTAATGTCTTTGAAAAAATTCTCACTCAACTTTATTGTTGAATGAAAGTGATTTGAGAGTTGAATCTGTAACGAAAACGAACATATTGCAACTGTTGAGAAGCAGTAAACTAAATATCGTTAGGAAAACCAGAGCAACATACCGAGAAAACCTTGTCAAATAAATAACGTTATCTTGATAATAACTCAATTTAATTGAAGCTACAATAAAAAAAAACTTATATTCAAAACAAGCTATCCAAACTAGATAATAAAGTCTTGTGAATATTTCTTATCAAATTAAATAGGCAATGAAATGGATGTAGGTTTGTAATTGGGATTGAAATGACAATATGAAATGCCAACGTCAAATTAAAATTTATACAGTGCTTTAATTACCAATGGTCATTTGCAATTCTGAAACTAGATACTAATGAACTAATTCGAGCATAAATACTAGATACTAAATACTAAAACAATTCGAGCATATACTAAATACCAATACAATTTGAGCGTAATTAACAAACTAGGGACAATTTCACAGTAAAAAAAAAATAAAAAAAGAAACATTGATCAAAATATAAAGTTTCAAGTTATGGATCAGTTCGCGATGCCATTTCCAAACGATGCAATTCAAGTTTAATTACTAACTTTTATTAAATATTGTTTATAAAAAAAAGAAGAACAAAATATATCTATCAATGCGCGCGTTTATATTAATGCATAAATTAATTATAATAAATATAATGACTAGTAATAATGAAAAAACTGTCAAATAATAGTGAAATAAATTTTTTCTTCTTACTAAGAGTTCCCAAAATTTTGAAATTTTAATTTATTCCTTATCACTAAAACGTTTATGTCCATATATCCATAAGCCTGGAAAAAAGAACTGATGTTCTCCCACTTAATAATGAAGTTAATTTGTTAATAAATCCTTTGAGGCGTAAGTGCTACATTTTTCTAACTGTGAATTGAAGAACAACGGAGGTCATCTCCTACAGCAACAATCAAAATTGTGGGCGTTAAAAGCGACTAATGCAAAAATTGTTTCACCGAAGAAAATTTACTAATTGTTTACAAAAAATTTCGAGTTTTCTTTGCGATAGTTAAATTATTTTTAATAAAAAAACGCAAAAAAACAGCAACCAACCTACCGCAAATCCGGATATTTTCACTTGGAAAAATGATCTGAAACACGAGTTGGAAAAAATATGAAAAGAGATTGGATATAGGAAACAAAAGTTGCAGCAGGTGACAGAAAGCGAGAAATAAATGCAAGCATTGAAAATTAGTATTAGATGGCAGAATTTACTTGTTTATGCACGTGCGATTGATGACCAGAGAATTCGTTGATTTTTATTATCAGGGAGTGGAACTTTCTTTACTTCCTGAAACTTGCCTTTTAATTTACAGTCATCTGAAGAAAAGTTCCACTCCCTGATAATATAAATAAACGAATCCTCTGGTCATCAATCGCATTGAAAATTGAAAACAAATTTTGAAGACAAGCTTAGGAAATTAGAAGCAGCTGGAAACTTAATACAAACGTTGGAAATTATAAGCAAGAACTAGACACAGGCCTATGAAAATTTGTAAAAAAAAATTAGAAAAGCTGGTGTAATTTAGAAGCAAGAACCAAACACAGTCGAAGTAAATTTCAGACGATGTAGAAGAAGAAATTTTTATCGAACAACAATGGCTCAGTGACGGGCACGCAGCGCTGGCGAGAAGTGAACGTTTTTGCTGCCCAATATCGCGATCAAAAGCCTCTGCATCCATTCTTGGACGCGCGTCGAATCCTTAATATTGTTTTGCCAGCAATAGAAACTCTTGAAGTTACGCCTAAAGTTTAGCAGAATGGCTGCATCGATGGAAGCGAGCTCAATACGAATTGCGCTCGCCTCAATGTATAGTATCATTCAATACTCATTCAAGCAATTTATACCGATCGTCCTGAATCGAAAACGTCATATAATAAATTCAAATTGAAAAAGTAAAATTTACGAGATGTGACTTGCTCTTGTGCTGCAATGGATGTTTAAAGGAAACTATTTCCTTTCTTTATTTCTATTTCTTCTTCTATTAGTTTCACAATGTAAAAGAATTTCATGCTCTTTCAAATTTCAGTCAATCATCAAGGCTTAGCTTGATTCTAATCAGTTTTCATCCGTCGAATCGTAAAATTTTCGACCCCGCTTCCGAAATTATCAAATGAAATAAATCTAAATCTCATGAGAAGTAAATTAATCGAACGAAGGTTTCGGTCAAACGCAGATGCCGAACATCACGTCATTGATTTCATTTTAAAATATGAGGCAAAAAAAATATTAGCGAGAGTCTAGGTTAGTTAAAAAGCATACAAACATTTTTTTCCTCCAGCAGTAAAAGCGATCGCAATTTTTATGCTGAGCCTTAAAAATGATAGACTGTGATGAAAATTTACTAATTTATGAACAATGAAGCCAGAAGTTGTATTAATTAGAAGAATTCATCAATCTAATGTCTATGGCTAACAAAATCATCATAAAAAAGAATAATTACTAAAATTTACGATTCCGAGTGAAGACTCGATCACTGAAATCTTTTAGAGGTATTTTGTTGAAATATTTCAACGATGTTGAACGATTACAATCTATTTTTAATTTGCAAATTTCTATATGGACTTACCATTTATCAGAGTCGTTAAACCATGAAGAAAAAATAACAGATTTGTTTTAGATTTTATTACTTTTCTAAAAGCTGCGGATATGAAAGCAATAATTGCAACAGAAAATTGTCGCTCTCCAACAATTGAAACAAAAAAATTGCATTTAACTTGTTGCTGAAAAAAACGAAGTACGTTTCACTTTTCTGAACTCCGGAAATCCAATATAATGACGAAGCTTTATCCAATTCTTAAAGCATCTCACAATACATTATTCATGAATCTTGAAGTACGCTACTCTTAGAACTAATCACAGGTTTTACAAAATTATAAAATGTTTAGAATCCAAGGTTTATAAATATTTAAATATCGCATGCAAGTGTGCCAACAGTGATCAAATTCTTGGAAACCATTCAAAGTTATTCAAAGAAGTAAACAAAAATGATCGTCACGAATTGGGAATTGGTCGTCATGCGTACACATTTATTGACAGAAAATAAACGCTCACGTTATCCTCATCAGTGAGAAGATAATTGACTTCTCAGAAACTCCAGTATAAATCTACATAATATGCATAAGTGACCTCGCTCCCCTGCCCAATGCGTATAGAAAGCTGGGGCTCAGAATATGAATTAGCTCATGTCGACCTTTCCTGTATAAAGAACTGAGCTAATATGTATTAAATTATAACTTCAATGGGTATAAGAGGCTATGGAACTTATTGGATGAGGAATTAGTGTGTGATTCTAACGAGTGAACTTGCAATGGATGGATACTGTTTATCTATTTCATGTTGTTCCACCGTTAATAATTTTCTTCTAGCTTCAACGTAGTAAAGAGAGTTCACACTCCTCTACTTATGTGTCCTGCGTAACACAGTAATTTTTTGGCTAATTCGAAAAATTTACTTCGAAAATACTGTAATTTACGTTTAAAATTCGTGCAAAAAAATCATATATGCCCAAATTTTATATTTCCATCTTTCAGCTCGCCACCAACGAAATTTTATCCGTTCACAGTGAACTGATTAAGGTAAGAAGTTTGTGTGAAACATTTACTATACAAACACTGCAAGCCACTCATTTCGAGTCTCAAGAATATTTGGGTGAATGAGAAGAAAGCCTGAGGGGAAAAATGAAACGAAAAATGTAATTGCATGCACACATAAAATAAAAGTTTTGGCATCTTAATATACTGAATAGAATTTCAAAATTTCAATAAAAGTTTGGATGAAGATGCTCTCTTTTGGCAGCGGTACTCACTTATATAGTCTTTAATTTCATTTAAAAATTCGCTTGTAGCAAAATGCTGTCAGTCTCGGTATGATAAGTAGTAACTTGGTGACACTAATTAACTGAGGAATTAAAATCAATATAGCGAAAGGGACTTACAACAACGTCTTTATCATGCATTAAGAGGTTCCATCTGTAACGTGCCTGTTGAACTGAATATTTTACCGTAAGTAAATTTTTACGGCATTCGGGAACTTCATAATGAAATTCAAAACAAGGTTGAGGTTATTGAATTCATGCGAATATTGTTTTAGAAAGAGGAAATAAGGAGTTAAAATTTTCATAGATTTTCCATTAAAAATGTCTGCGTTTAAAATACCTAATTGGTCTGAATTCATTTGATCGAGAAAGATGTACATTTTTCTATATTGATTAAGAATCCCATATTTTGATTCTCTGGAGTTCTTGATTGTAAACACATAAATTTTAATTACAATTAATTTCGTCATACAGCCGTCAGTCTTTTTTATAACACGTAAAGATAAGAAGCCACAATAATGTAAATTAATTATGCACAAAAAACATTCATAAATTTTTGTTCGCGTACAAAAAAAAAAACAAGAGAATTGCGAAATAAAAATGAGACCAAATAGGATGTATAGTTAAATTTTCGACACCAAATGCGAGACATTAATGATGCGAAATAACTTCTTTGCATTTACAGAAAATGAAGTAGTGATGGGCGATGATTTTTAAGGGAATGTGCCTCCGTGACGTTTAATAATAGCTAATCAAAAATTTCCATATTTATTTATTTTGACTTCTTTCGAAAAAGTTTAATATAAAAGTAGCAATACATTATATGTAATTTTGATCATTGATAGTAAAACACAAAGTATCTCAGTATTATAATCGTAATTTGTTTATTTGAAAATTTTGAATTGGAAAAAAATGATATATTGAAAACTTCCTCTTTTTATTTATTTTGAGTTACTGCGTAAAAAGTTTAATCTAAACGCAACAATACAATATGATTAATTTTGATAATTGATCGTAAACACATATTCTATCAATAATATAACGAGACTTTCCTTGTGTTTCTTTAGGCATAAAAAATATATTAATTCAAGCGTAACTTTCTTAAATCCCAACTGCGATAAGATTCCAGGTAGCATCAGCCTTCCGCATATACACCAAATTTAGCAAATACATCAAATCTAGAGTTCACAAAATTAAGGCTTGCAATTTCTTTATTTATGTGAAATTTGCCCTTCTAACAGATTATGGTATCACATTACATGCACAAACACTACTTGTTTTCGAACAACTTGTGAATAATTTCACAATTATTCATTATTGTATATTAGTTACGTAATTTTTTCCGCTTTATCTTACAAAAGCAACGTGAGAAAAAACATTAGCACTGCAGATGGCTTTGAAGTGCAGAAGCACGACAGCATCGTCATGTCAGAGCACAGACAGCGTTGTATGGAGTGCTTGTTAAGAATCAAAGCACCATAACGGAATTAAAAGTTTATTGAAATTATTAACTAGAATTTGGATTTTCGTTTCGTGAACTTAGCTATACATAATGAAGTGAGTTTTGTATCGAATATCCTAACAGGTATAGATGAAATGAACAGGAAGTCAACAGAAATTGGTTTTATATAGCCAAAAACTGAGAAATTTAAATATTATAGTTTAAATTATTTATTGTCATTAATTTGAAATTTAACTTTCATCGTAAATTCTCATCAATTAAACAAAAGATTTTAAGTTAACCCCAGTCTCGGTGAAAGAGACATTCATAAAATAAGTTTATTTGCGGTATATTTGATCATGTATAGTGATGCACCAATGTCGTTACCGATGCTCATTCGTGTGTTTACTCGTACGCAGTGACATACGATTTTAAAATTAAGTCAGATGGGGTTCAATCTCGGTTTAAAATAACATTTAAGATCAGAGACATGACATAAGTCATTAAACATGCAGGCTACTGAAAAACTTGACCAAAAAAACTTTCTTCAATCGTTGTATTGATAACTCCTAATCACCAGGGCCTATACTTTCAAAAAAAGTTAAAAGAACGTAAGTTGATCAGCCAATCATTGACAGCCTTTCAAGCAAAATCCCCCAATCATAGACAAGAAAATAGAGCGTTAGTACTTACGTTCCCTTAGCGAGTTTTGAAATTATGGCCCCAGTAATCATTTCCGCATTTACTGCGATATAGTTAAGCAAGTTCGTGACGTTTTGGTGACAAGAGTAGGCTTTAAAAAATTTTTTCCTGTGTGTGCAGGTGGTCAGTGCTGGTGCTGCTGGGCTTGTTAGCTGCAGCAAAAGCCGAAATCACGGCTGGAATTTGCCCTGAGTGGACCAACGTTGAAACTTTCGACATCCCTTCAGTGGGTTTGATCTTTTTAACTTCTCGTTCCTCGACTACAGTTCAATTTTATATGGAGTTTCTGCAAAATAATAAGTTTACTTTCGTGTCATCAATGCTGACACATTGTTTTGGAATCAGCAAAATGTTCTCACCATTAATGTTCGAAGGCCTTTTCCGCAAGTAGAAGGGCAGCAAATAGCCAGGGCACTTTACAATGGGTGAGGAAAAAGCAGCACTGGCAATACGGAGGGACAAAAAAAAAATGAACAGGTTGCCAGCACTAAAAACGAAGACTTATTCAGAAAGCGAAGACAATTATTTAACAATACAATACACTTTTACGAAACAAGAAAAAACACTTTCAATAAAATAACTACACTTTTACAAAACAAAAACACTTTCAATAAAACAACTGCACTTCTATAAAACAAAAACACTTTCAATAGAAACAACTACACTTTTACAAAACGAATACTTTTCACAATACGATGATTTTTTTTACAAACGAAAACACTCGATAAAGAAGCCGCTCATACGGGACGCCGGCCGCCCGCGTGAGTTTGACTAAAGAAATTCCAAGTATACTGACTACAAAAAATGCCTCTGGACTTGAGAAATCCAATAAACTGTGACAAATGTAAAACACGGCAGGAGAAACATTCAAAAGCCGGAAAGTGAAAATACCATGTTTGGCTAAACTTAGGTTTTCCATCTTCATAATTATAGAATAGAATAGAAGTCTCGCATCTCATTTATTCCAGTGTTTGATTAAAAATTTTCATTTTTATGTACTGTTTTTTAAAGCCTTCCGTCCGTGGATTGATATAATTTTTCTACCACCCGCAGTACCTGGGCCGGTGGTACGAGATGGCTCGTTTGCCGGTAGCGTTCGAATTGGGCATCTCCTGCGTGACCGTTGACTATGGTCCCTTGAGTGAGTGATTAGCGAGAAAAATCTTGTGAGAAAAAATGTAAATATAAATTTATATATGCGGCTCATTCGACAAAATCATAGACTGGATTCAATTACAATTGCGCTTCTGAAGGTTTCTGCATTTAATGCCTTATCATGAATTTTAGGTATACACTGACCTGAGTTTCCGGAGTTTAAAGTTTGAGGTGGGCAGTGTATCGATGATCTCAACTAATCCATTCTAAATTGGACAGTACGATTTTTCTTTTATCGACAATTTTCAGATATTAGCGATACAAGTTACGCTCAAAATATTTCCGGTAATAACAGGAGCTTCTAAATCTGTATTTAACAATTAATGCATGAATAAAAGGAGTGATAACTACGTATATATCTTGAAACGTTTCATGATTCACACAAAGTTTAATACAATGAACAAACCATGTGAACTGCATTAATTCAATATTTGATTTCAGCAATATAGCTGCAATAGAATTTATTTTTCATCTTTTCGTGATAATTATGTTCATATTGCCAAGAAAGAAATTAAGATTGGTACGTGACACAACCTATGACCGTCCAAAACTGGGGTGATCATTAGAAGATGTACTACAAATTGCTCACTATACCTAGCATTGACATAAATTTATTCCTATTAGATTGATTAATTGACTGGCAAATGTTTAATGTTAGTCACCGTTGGTAAGAAGCTGTTATAGCTGACTAACGAAACAACGATTTTAGTTACGCACTGTATTTGCGGACCTAAATATTTATAATAATATATATAATATAATAATAACCCCGTTATTGGTCACAGGCGATACGATGATCACGGTCACTAACAATGGTGATCTTGGTAACGGAATAGTGACGGTGGAAGGTACAGGTACCGCCACAAACGTCACAGGCCAACTCATGATTAATTTGAACGGTGAAGACGTTGGTTTATATAACGTCATCGACACAGACTACGTCACTTACGCCTGCGTCTATACCTGCGAGCAGGTACGTCTGCACGTCTGCCACAGTATCGTGAAAAAATCAATTAATGTGAAACTGTGTTTTTTTTAATAGCAATTAGTACCAAATTAAACCTTTTATTATATATAAAATAAATCAATTAATAAAATCAATCATTATGAAATAGGTATTTTCTAATCGAAATTAATGCCAAATTAAACTTTGTATTATAAATAAAACAAATCAACAAAAGCAATCAATTTGAAATAGTGGTATTTCTAATCGTAATTAGTACCAAATTAAACCTTGTAGGTATTGTAAATGAAATAAGTCAACATGAAATAGTGGTATTCTCAAATAGCACTTATTATAAATAAACCTAGTAATAAAAATAAAATAAATCAATTAATAAAATAAATCAGTATGAAATAGTGGTCATTTCAAATACCAATTAGTACAAAAGTAAACCTTGTATAAAAAATAATGAAAATAATTCAATTGCAAACTAAAATCTACTAACAAAACTTTATAAAATACTAATAGACCGAATGGAAGTAATAGAAATGTACAACTAACAGTGTGCCAGTGTTAAATGAATGCCATATAATATAATATTTTATAACATAAAATAAAATGATGTATTATCACATAATATGATATGATATGATATAATATAATATAATATAATATAATATAATACAATATATTATAATATAATATAATATAATATAATATAATATAATATAATATAATATAATATAATATAATATAATATAATATACTGATGAGGACTGACGTGCTTCTGTTGGCTGGTGTTTGTTCGGCCGTCCGGCCACTGACTGCACCATCGTGTGGTATATTATAACATAATATAATATAATAAAATATAGTATTATATAATATAGTATATAATAAAGGATATTCCCATAATGATATTCCTGCCTCGGTCAGCTCGGGGACCTGAAGGACGAGACGGCGTGGGCGTTCAGCCGCACCACCTCCTACGACCCTGAGACTCGAGTGAGTGCTGTAGCACAGCTCATATTTAACTACTTTAAATGCTTCATAAATTATTGTAAGTTAGTTAGTACAGTAGATTAACTACTTTAAATGCTTCACAAATTATTTGTAAGCTAGTTAGTAAAGTAGCAAATGTAAATGCTTCGCAATTAGTTAGTCAGTGCAATAGCCGCTGTTACTAGCGCCTCGCATCGAGCTGTGCTTCACAATTACAAATTAGGAAATTAAAAGTAATTTCGTAAAATATTGTACAGCAAAATTTTAAATATGTCAAAATGGCAGCATGAAATTATGCAAATTTAATACAAATGTAGAATAAATTTTGATCCAAGGATGATAGAGCACAAGTCGGTATTTTAAAATGACACAGTGAGCATCATGTTCGTTTTATTTATAATATAATTCACGGTGTAAAAATGAGAAGCAGGAGATTGAGTTCTAATACATTAAGCAACAGCACTAATGTAGAAATCATCAATTAATAATGATTAAATAAGAAATTTAGGAGTCTACCGATGGCAAAATGCACTTTGATTCAGGGGAAAAATCACATATTTCGAACACTAATGCGCTTATTTTTAACACAAAATTTCATAATATAAGAATAAATAAGAATCTTGTATAAGTAATAGAGTAAAAATAAGAGTAAATAAGAATACTCTTGTTCTCGACTTTCTTGGTAGATATATTCTTGTATCCGCGATATAAAAAAAACACCATTTTACAGTTAAACATAGATCGAATTTAACTTAAACAGAATTTTAACAACGAAGAAAACGGGTAGCTTGGTGACAAGGTCATCTGAATATTTTCGCAATATTCTGGGTAGTTTTATTTAAATCATTATTCTGTTCCGGATTAGTAATTATTAACACCTCAGAAGTACCAAACCTGCTCAAACCAGTAAATTTTTCATTTATGAATGCAAAAATAAGATCAATTTGCAGATAAATGCAAATAAATTTGAATACGGGTTTAAAGGTTCCAATGAAAAAAAGTATTTTAGAGAATAATTAGCTTTCGAAAATTTCATTTTAATTTTCATTCTCAATAAATTGAATGAAAATACGAAATTATTCTTTAACAAAAAATAAAGTGATATAATTCAATTAAAAAGCAGCGTTGGTATCGATGAACTATTTGAAATTTCTTCTGATTTCCTTTACAATTTCAGGACAAGGTGGAGGCGGCATATACGAAGTTTGGCATCGATGTCACCAAGTTCCACATCACGCCGCAAGGGGGCGACTGTGTCTACGCTCCTCTGCCCTGAACTTATTATAAACATTAGAATTTCATTCTTATATCTATTATTTATCAAAATCTTGATTAAAGCGTAACTAAATAATTTTTCTATTACCCGAAACATAAAATAATATCCATATTTTTAAACGCATGTCTTGTAGCTGTTAAATTATAAACATAATAATTTCATTCTTATATCCATTATTTATCTACCAAAATATTAACTAAAGCATAACTAAATAATTTCTATTACCCGAAACATAGGGTAATAGAATCCATACTTTTAATAGGAGAATGTCCTTCTTCTAGTCCTGTAGCCATTAAATTGTAAAAAAATGCGAAGTTTTACGAAACAACGTTATAGTATACGGTCACGAATATGAAAAAAAACGTTCGATATAAGTAATCTCAATACAGATTCTTCAACACAATAACTCTGACACAACAATAGCATTACAATGCATCCTGATTCGTCACCTATAAAATAAATATGCAGAAATTTTTTATTCGTTTTTTTTTAATAATGCCCTCAATATTGAGGTTCTTACTTGATAGATTGACATAAAAAATATGTCTAGGTAAAGTTGAATTATTCAGTCGAAGCACCTTACAAATCTTAATATTTTAAATCCGATTCACTCTAATTGTTACAGAGTCATAATCCCTAATCATGATGAGCTAATTAATATTCTCACATGAAGACCAGTATGTCAATATCAATAACCACTTTTGATAATTAACCATCTTCAGTGAGATACTTGGAGCACTTACACGTAGTTTTCGATCATGTTTAGTAACCACTTGCAAATATAATTGCAGTATTTGCTGTAGCACAATCGATACAGATTTGCATTCTTTCTCCTCAACGATGCCGAGAACTTTTTAATAAAATATACAGTCTTTAATGATGAGTGAAGCGGATATAGTTCCAGCCCAAACCATAATATCTACCTTCAAATTGACCTGTGGCGATCGACCTTCATTTAAAGGGACCTTCTACCCTAAAATTTTCAATTTTGTCGTTTTCCGGTTTTCATACTTATCTTAAAGCTGGAATTCTCCTCTTTCCAATGGTATCACTGCCATCTCTCTACGTGAATATTTACGTTCATGACGGCTCTTTAAACGGAGGCGGGTGGGAGAGTTCTTTAACTAATTACATATAAATTAATTAACTGCTGAAATCTTTGAATATAGTTTCTACCTGAGTTGTAAACCATAATATCTACCTTCAAATTGACCTGTGGCGCTCGACCTTCATCTAGATAACGATGAAGATCGATAATAACTCAGGAGAAGTGTATTCATTTACCGTTATTAAGGTAAATGAATAGCCTTCTACTGAGTCAATTTTCTCTCCTATGGTCCTCCCCAAGAGGGCGCCATTTCCCCAAGCACGAAACATTTCTCAAAATGCGTTCGCTATTCAAATTAGACGGCAATTTTCAAAATTAGTTTAAAAATTTCAAATTTCAAATTCAGAATATTCAATTTTCAAATTAATTCGTTCAAATTAGACGACAATATTCCAGGCGGTGCTGTGCCTTAGAATCGTTTGTATCATCAGTCAAAGGTCACCTAAACTAAAGGTCACCTACATTATACATGTCACATATATCATACACGTTACATATTATATATATAAACAAAATTATTAATGTCGCGTAATAAATACCGTTCGTCCATCAGCTACAACGAAACAGTGACATCATCTGAAATTCGTGTATCCAAATTAGACGAATGCATGTATAATATACAATAATATATAATAATATTGTTATTGTTAATATTTGTATAAAATAACAAATGTCTGATGGATTTCAACCTAATTAGGAACTGTAAATTCTAACGCTAAGTCGGAATTTAAATTGCATCATGCTATTGTTCACAACAAAGATCTTAATTTGGAACTAATAACGGAATCACCATTCATACGTGAATCCGGTTAAAAAATAACATTTATGGAAAAACAGCCTTTGATCTATTCACAATTCACGAGAAAATTTACAGCTCACTTTTTGAGAAAATTATAGTAATAAAAATGGCAAAACGCGACGAGTGAAAAACGCAGAACAGACAAAAATTATTAAACTCGTACTGTCTACTTGAATTTAAAAATCTTGCGCAATCCGAATCCAATTTTTTTCAATTTTAAAAATTAAACAGGACATTTTTAACAAGCTTGGAAACCATCGACGCCTGTTAATAAATTCCCTTTGCATTTCTCTGACTTAAGATTGACGATTATTTGCAGCAAATTCTTTTTAGTATGAATATTCCCTTTTTTGGGTCGATCATCAAGAGAATTGATCTTCAAGGGAATTGATCTTCAAGGAAATTGATCATAAGAGAATTGATTATCAAGGGAAATGATCATCAATAGAATTGATCATCAAGTGAATTGATCATCAAGAGAATTGATCATCAAGAGAATTGATCATCAAGTGAATTGATCATCAAGAGAATTGATCATCAAGAGAATNGAATTATTTATCAATAGAATTTATCATCAAGAGAATTGATTATCAAGAGAATTGATCATCAAGAGAATTATTTAGCAATAGAATTTAACATCAAGAGAATTGATTATCAAGAGAATTGATCATCAAGAGAATTTATCATCAAGAGAATAGAGCAACGGCAAGTTCGATCTTCTCTTTATCATCGAAAAAATGTATCATAATCTTAGATCATTTTCTGCAAGCAACTCTCTAATTTCCTGAGCTTTCCAGCATAATTACGTACCGATGAAGATCATTACTAAGCTCACGTGTATCTACGAGATATGGATTCAATGCATTTTCTAAAGAAGTTTACTCGAAGTTCCGTGGGCATTGAGTCGTAGATTGTTTTGAATTGGAGAGCAAGATATTTCATAGGCCTTATTTGATGCGATGAAAACGGACCACGAGTCAATGTAAAGCCGTAGCAAGATCATCTAGCAAGCTGTAGCAAGATCATCTAGCAAGCCGTAGCAAGCCGCAGCAAGCCGTATCAAGATCATCACTCAAAGTACAAGGCTAATACGTTATTGCAAGTCGGTAGTTAGTGGAAGAATAGGGGCTTTTCGATGAATACCAACCTAGAGGATAAGAGATTTGCCCAATTATAGCGATAGCCCTCAAGCCAAGACAAATAATGAGGCGATTTTGTGTTCAAGAAAATAGTCGGCAAATATTTGCACGTGTTGCGACGTCGATATTGAGAGCAAAATGATCGTCGAGCAGCAAATAAAGCACAGTTGGGCTCTGGCAGAGAGACAAGAAGGATCAACTTTAACCTTGTGGTTAAAGAAAGTAAGTACTTTCCCCCAAAACCCTAGTCATTGTTGGAAAACCATCAGACCTAGGCATTATCATACCAACCACCCATCAAGCGCTGAGAAATCGCATTAAATATTTTCTAGTTTTAAAATTCAGCGAAGGATTCTAATCCAACTAAGGTGGCCATTATGATAAAAATTTTATAGAATATTCGTTTATCGAGGCATTTCAGAAAATTCTGGTAAGGTAAGTTCTGAGCTAAGATATTCTTGATTTAGTTACTTAAGTCAAATGACGAGGTTGTGTCGGTGGCTGTAATTAATTGTAGAGCTGTAATTAAGTGCTTCAAAAGTGGAAGTAAAACGTGTAGGTCTTTGGAGTATCAGAGCCAGAATGACAAATTTTCAATGGGGTAACGGGTTCGTCCTGTCTAGCCCTCGGGCTTAATTGTTGCCAGTTAGGTGCCACCTATATTATACATGTCACCTATTTATATACGTCACATATATTAAATGTTCTAGGTACATATAGACCGTTCGTCTAGCAGCTACAACGAAACAGTGACATCATCACGCAGGATCGACAAGGAATAAAAATACCTATTTTAATTTTACTGTTCGTACGGATAAAGTGTAAGTAATGTCGCTCAATTTTGAAATTGATATTTTTTTACCATGGATGCCCATGTGAATAGAGATATATTTTTAAACAACTCTAAGAATCATTTCTGTAATATTCTTACATCTTTATCCTCAGTTCCAACAATGAAAACAACTGCCCTGCCCTCCCAAATTCTGATGCTTCAGAAGATATTAATCATCACCCATTCAGTCCACGCTGGACACACCTGGGTCAGCACACAGCTCAGCAGGACATGGCTGGACGCACCAGGCGTTACGAAGGAAATCGTTTGGCAGCCCAAAAAGGCCCTCGCGGCTCTTGAATGTGGGGCCAGGATCTGGTGTGGGACGTTTTGTCTTGAACCTGCAGGCATGTACACTCTTCTCAGCATCGTGAGCGTGCCTTTCAATGAGGATCCAAAAGGTGCACCTTACCTCAAATGTTACTCAAACAGAACTGAAAACATCCTCATGGCACAGTCAGGTATCACGGTCTATGCTTCTACTCCTGAATCAGCAGTTAGACGCGTTGCTGGGAATATGTTGGACGGGACATATAATTGGCCCGACCTTGAAGACTGCTAAGAGGATCCAAAAGGTGCACCTTACCTCAAATGTTACTCAAACAGAACTGAAAACATCCTCACGGCACAGTCAGGTATCACGGTCTATGCTTCTACGCCTGAATCGGTAGTCGGACGCGTTGTTGGAAATACTGTAGACGGGACATATAATTGGCCCGACCTTGAAGACTGTTATCGCACCTTGGCTGTCAGTTACCCGTTCGTCTTGTACGATTTGGGTTCAACAATGAATGTGAAAAATGTTTCAATCATTATCCAGCCAAACTTGAACGCTCAGTACCATTTCAGGGAAATAGACATTCGTGTTGGAACATTGCCTAAACAAGGAGACTTCAGCGCCTACCACCAGCTGGGCTACATGAGTGGTCCAGCGCCGTATCCTGACTACCAGTTCAACACCAACGCCCCTAACGCCATTCGAGGGCGATACCTTGCAGTCCAGAAGAATATGACAGGAAACGACGTTTTATACAACATGATGCAGTTTTGTCACATTGAAATCTTTGTGTGATGGAAAGGCCAGCCTCCAGATGCGAGTGCGGATGGTGTTAATTTTTAGTAATGCGTGCGGATTGCGGATTAATTGCGGTAATTAGTGCGAATGGCCGCAATTTTTTTAGTAAACGTGAAACTATTTAATTCAGT